GTGTGTGTGTTTAAGTCTGTGTATATTTGTGTGTGTGTGTGTGTTTAAGTGTTTGTATATTTGTGTGTACATTTGTGTGTGTGTGTGTTTAAGTGATTGTGTGTGAGTGTATATTTGTGTTTGTATGTGTGTGTGTATATTTGTGTGTTTATATATTTGTGTATGTGTGTGTATTTGTGTGTTAGTGTGTGTTTATTTGTGTGTGAGTGTGTCTAAGTGCTTGTGTATCTATGTGTGTTTGACTGTGTTATTAAGTGGGAGTATATCTGTGTGTGTTTAAGTGTGTGTGTATATGAGTGTTTGTATATTTGTGTGTTTAAATGTGTGTATATTTGTGTGTGTTAACTGTGTGTTTAGGTGCATGTATAGTTATGTGTGGTGTGTGTGTGTGTGTGTGTGTGTGTACGTACCGACGGTGTGTATGGGTTTCCTGTACGGCAGCAGCCCGAAGCTGTACTGGAAAACTCCTCTAGCATGAAAGAGAGGCAAAGCCACGCCCATTATCCTCTGGAGGCGTTCCTGCATGCGGCGGAGGGCGGAGCCTGCGGGATTCTCCATCTGGTCGAAGAGCTCGTTCTCCCCAAACGAGAACACTGGAACCAGCCACGCTCTGCACACACAAAAACAAGTTGGGTTTTTATGTTATATGGGGACTCTCCATACTGTAGCTATAATGATGTGTTTAGTGTACGGACTCGCACGCACACGCACACATGCACACACACACACACGCACAAAACACACACTCACACACTCACATACATGCATATGGAAAGAAACAAACATGGACATAGTGCACAAAAACCCACTGCACAAACACACACACACACACCCGTGTTTGAGGGCGAGTTTGATGAAGCCTTTGCGCTGCAGCAGTTGCAGTGTCAGTGCTCCAGGCCGCGCCTCCAGAGACTCCGGAGCTCCGCCCACTGCAATGACGGCCGCTTGACCCCCGCCTGGATGACCCAGCAGGTAACTCGCACTGGCCTTCTCACTGGACACCAGCCCTGCACAGGTCAGAGGTCACACACAGACAGATGAAGACCAAATTATTCACCCTCCTGGAGAAATGAAGTATCTCGCAGAACATCACACACTGACATCACGGCAAGGATTGAGGAATGAGTTATTAAAATTATTCATTCATTCATTTTCCTTCCGCTTAGTCCCTTTATTCATCAGGGTTCACCACAGTGGAATGAACCGCCAACTATTCCAGCATATGTTTTACCCAGCGGATGCCCAACTTCCAGCAGGATAACGCAGCATGTCATAAAGCTCAATCATCTCAGACTGGTTTCTTGAACATGATGATGAGTTCACTGTACTCAAATGGCCTGCACAGTCACCAGAGCTCAACCCAATAGAGCATCTTTGGGATGTGGTGGAACAGGAGATTGGCATCATGGATTGAAGCAGTTCTGAAGGCAAAAGGGGTCCAACCCGGTACTAGTAAGGTGTACCTAATAAAGTGGCCGGTGAGTGTGTCTGTCAGCCCTTCACAATATTAATTCACTGTTCTAATTATACTTTAGGCATATTGTTATTGCTATGATTATTGGTTGTTATTATTTAGTAACTGAATCATGTTGATTCTTAATATATTTTAATATATTTACTTCAATGCAAGCAGTGTTCATATATTAAACAGAACAATATTTGCACATTAGTAAATATACATTAAAATAATACAAAAAAATTAATAATATTGCTTTTAAATGCTTAAATATATTTCAATAATATTATAGATAATATTGGGGTCTGTTCTTCGTACTTCGCTTAAATGATCTAAGATGATTTGACAGATACTGGATCTTTTAATCTTGATAACTGATCTCTCGCTAATTTGGTTCTTCAAACAAGTTCGCGAATCAGATTAGAATGTCTGGATGAACTGATCTGAGATCGCTGCGTGTGTTGTGAAGGACAGATCTATCAATCCTCGAAATCATGATCAGCAATCAGCACCGATTGGCTGACGGTACAGCAGCGTAATGACATCATCTGATTAATATTCAATTATCCATGTGAGCAAAATGACAGAAAATTAGCAGTAAACGGTTTGTTAAATATGACACGCAATAACCTTCCACATTTGTCATGAGCTGCAGGCTTTACACTTTTATGTGTCAAGAGTATTCATCATGTGTTTCAGTGCAAATCAGTGTATTTAGTTCCACATTTAGAGAAGATTTTCATTATTATAGTAGGCGATTTTTAATCGGTGTAAAGAATAACTGGATGTTTACAAAAGCATTTTCATATTGGTAAAGGCGTCTGCAACTTTTGTGAAGCATCAAATCATCACCATATTAACTATCAAAACATGTTCATGTCTGCATAAATGTATTATTGCTTTAAAAAAAAGTCACATATTGTGCATTTCTATTATACACAATTTGTACTAAAGCGATCAAAAAAGTTCATATCAATAAGTTTTCTCTTTGCACCAGCAGATGGCAGTCTTTGTTCTTTCATTTCGAGGGTGCAGATTGCATAAGTTTTATTAATATGTATAACTTTATTTATTTTATTAATGACTATAACTTAATATAAATTGTTAAAACATATTTACCATTTTCCCAAGTGTATATAACTACTACTGTAAGAAAATATCAGAATTCGGAGCATACTTTCTGTATTATCTTTGCTTGAACTGAGCTGATCTAATCCTGTTTATATGAATTGAACCTGCTCCCGATCAGGTTTGAGCTAGAAGAACTGTTGCTATGACAACAACTCTCGGATCAGCTTTGAAGAACGAAACGATCCTGGATTGTGTCAAATCGTCAATATCCAAATCCAGCTAACTGAGTAATCCACGTACGAAGAACGGACCCCTGCTCATATTTCAGATCGTCTTGGGCCTGAATGTAGTTGATAAAACACTGATCAAAGTATCATCTAAAAGTCACTGTTTATTTAAAAACACAAAAGGAATAGGTTTTGTGTGAAATGTTTTAGAGTAATGATCATGTTGTGTTGACCTTCTATTATTATTAATCTTCATGAGTGTGAGCTGGACTGCAGGAGTTATGAGGATGAAGCTATATCGATTCAGAAAAGCAGCCCTGATTTACCTCTTTATTTCTGCCGGCTGTAAAATCACCATAAATATATCAGACGGACAGCTGAGATCTGTACCTCTGCTCATTGTGTGTGTGTGTGTGTGTGTGTGTGCGTGTGTGTGTGTGTGTGTGTGTGTGTGTGTGTGTGTGTGTGTGTGTGTGTGTGACTGTATTACCTACTTGGTTCTAGTTCAGACTTTCCACACAACACTTTCACAACATCATATTACCCAACGAGAACAAACAGTAAGGTCAAACACACACACACACTCACGTTTTTCTATCTCACTGAGGACATTGCAGATATGCAGTCTTCATAATGTTTAGTTTCAAGTGTTTTCATTCATGAGGAGCAGAAAAACATCAACCTCACACAGAAATGAACTAAAGCTCTACACAAACACTCTTAACACAGAGAAACTTTCACTCACACACACACACACACACACACACACACTCTTTCATCTCTCACACTTAATTGCTTGCACACGCACGTGCACTCACACCCATGTGCACAAATGCACGCACACACCTCCGCACATGATGTATTCTCTGAAGAAGGGCACCCTGAACCAGAACGGCAGCATCAGCAGGTACGGCGTGAGTCCCGGGAACATCTGGGAGAATCCGGACGCCTCCGTGCAGAAGTTCCCGAATCCACCGGCCACCAGAACACCGTGCGGATGGAAACCCAGCAGGTAATTGTGCCTCGGGTCCAGATCCACCGTCTTGACCAGCTGAGATGAAAAAAACAATCTCATTTATAAGAAGACAGATGGCAGATTGAGTAAAGAAGCTCAATAAAATATATATATATATTTATTGTTTAATTCTTTTCAGAACTGACAGAAAATCTAAGCTAAATATCTGAACAAATTATATTCCAGATCTGAAGTTGATATCTCCAGAATTGAGCTTTGAGCAGTTTTTAGTTTGGCTGCAGTACCAGACTTGACCACCAGGTGACATACAGTTTCTATTGGTGACCATATAAGGGCGCCCCCTATTCCTGTGTAAGCTGATTAGTGATATTTTTTCATACTTTTCACAGTATTTGTAAAGTAGTCATCAAATCCTAAAGCAGTTTGAGGGTTTTTGATTTTAATTAACCCTCTAAAAAACATCTTTAAAACCTGGGGTCCGTTCTTCGTACCTCGCTTAAATGATCTAAGATTATTTGGCAGATCCTGGATCTTTTAATCTCGATAACTGATCTCTCGCTAATTTGGTTCTTCAAACAAGTTCGCGAATTAGATTAGAATGTCTGGATGAACTGATCTGAGATCGCTGCATGTGTTGTGAAGGACAGATCTATCGATCCTCGAAATCATGATCAGCAATGCAATGATTGGCTGACGGCACAGCAGCGTAATGACATCATCTGATTAATATTCAATTATCCATGTGAGCAAAATTACATCAAATTAGGAGTAAACCGTTTGTTTAATATGACACGCAATAACTTTCCACATTTGTTGTGAGCTGTAGGCTTTACACTTACATTTGTCAAGACAAGAGTATTCATCATGTATTTCAGTGCATATCAGTGTATTTAGTTCTACATTTAGAAAAGATTTTCTTTATTATAGTCGCCGTTTTTTAATCGGTGTAAAGAATAACTGGATGTTTACAAAAGCATTTTCATATTGGTAAAGTCGTCTGCAACTTTTGTGAAGCATCAAATCACCGGCATATTAACTATCAAAACATGTTTATGTCTGCATAAATGTATTATTGCTTTAAAAAAAAGTCACATATTGTGCATTTCTATCATACACAATTTGTACTAAGCGATCTAAATAGTTCATATCAATAAGTTTTCTCTTTGCATCACCAGATGGCAGTCTTTGTTCTTTCATTTCGAGGGTGCAGATTGCATACGTTTTATTAATATGTATAACTTTATTTATTTTATTAATGACTTTAATTTTATATATATAGTTAAAAAATAGGCTATGTACCATTTTCCCAAGTGCATATAACTACTACTGTAAGAAAATATCAGAATTCGGAGCATACTTTCTGTATTATCTTTGCTTGAACTGAGCTGATCTAATCCTGTTTATATGAATTGAACCTGCTCCCGATCAGGTTTGACCTAGAAGAACTGTTGCTATGACAACAACTCTCGGATCAGCTTTGAAGAACGAAACGATCCTGGATCGTGTTAAATCGTCAATATCCAAATCCAGCTAACTGAGTAATCCACGTACGAAGAACGGACCCCTGTACTTGTGGATCGCTGTAGCAAAGTAATGCCTTTGACTCTGATGAGTATTCTTGTTGCAAATTAATAAATAACTGTAGCTCATTAATAACTATCAAACACCAGTATATGCATTCTTAGACCTTTCCAACAATATATAGTTTGTCGTGATTAGATTAGGATTTAATTGCAATATAGTGAAGGAAACTTGAGAATCCAGCTGGCAGATATTGACAATCACCGATTCACTAACGCATTGATTCACTGACTCACTGAATCACTTACTCACTGATTCACTTATTTGCAGATTCAGTAACTCTCTAATTGACTTACCAACCCACTGATTCACTTACTCGCTGATTCATTAGCTCACTGACTGACTTACCAACTCACTGATTCACTTACAGATTCACTTACTCACTGACTCACGAAATCACTTACAGAGTTTACTTACTGATTCACTTACTCATTGATTCACTTACAAACTCAGTGATTCACTTACTCTCCGGATCACTTACCTATTCTCTTACTCGCTGTTTCACTCATTCACTAACTCACTGATTTACACAAGCTGATTGACTTAACTCACTGATACACTTACTCAATGATTCACTTAGACTCACTGAATCACTTACTGACTGATTGACTTACAAGCTGATTGACTTATTCACTGACTGACTGATTCACTTACTGATTTGCTTACCAATTCACTGAGTCACTTACTTGTAGACTCACTAATTTACTTACTCACTGATTCACTTACTCATGACTCACTGGTTCACTTACTCAACGATTCACTTACTCATTAATTTACTAACTTGCTGATTCTCTTACCAACTCACTGATTTACTGACTCACTGATTTGCTGACTCACAGACTTACTAATTCTCACTCACTGGTTCATTTAATGATTTTCTGACTTAGTCTCACTGATTCGCTTACTCGCTGAATCACTTACTCACCTACTCACTGATTCACTAAATCGCTGATTCGCTAACTTACAGACTCGCTAATTTTCACTCACTATTTCACTTAATGATTTGCTGATTTAGTCTTGCTGATTCAGACTTGCCAAATTGGTTGATTCACTTACTCGCTGATTCACAGACTCACTGATTCTTAGGCTCGTTGATTCACAGACTTGTTGAGTCACAGACTCATTGATTCAGAGACTCACTGATTCACAGACTTGTTGATTCATAGAATCGTTGACTCATAGAAACGCTGATTCAGACTTACGATTTAACTTACTGACACACTGACTTACTCACTGATATGCTTAGTCGCCGATTCGTTTACTCATAGATTCACAGACTCACTGATTCCCAGACTTGTTGATTCACAAACTCACATTTTACCAATTCGCTTACTGATATGCAGACTTACGGATTTGCTGACTCACTGATTCGTTTAATCACAGATTCACTAACAGACTCACAGATTCACAGACTCACTGATTCACAGGCTTGATGATTCACAGATTTGTTGATTCAAAAACTTAAGGTTTCACTAACTAATTCACTGACTCACTCACTGATTAGCTTACTGATTTGCTTAATCACTGATTCACTTACTGATATGCAGATTTACTGATTTGCTGACTCACTGATTTATGTAATCACAGATTCATTTACTCACAGACTCACTTACAGACTCACTGATTCACAGACTCCCTGATTCACAGAAGCACTGATTCAAAGACTAACTGATTCACAGAAGCACTGATTCACAGAAGCACTGATTCACAGAAGCACTGATTCACAGACTACCTGATTCACAGACTCACTGATTCACAGACTAACTGATTCACAGAAGTACTGATTCACAGACTCACTGATTCACAGATGCACTGATTCACAGAAGTACTGATTCACAGACTCACTGATTCACAGAAGTACTGATTCACAGACTCACTGATTCACAGAAGTACTGATTCACAGACTCACTGATTCACAGAAGCACTGATTCACAGATTCACTGATTCACAGAAGTACTGATTCACAGACTCACTGATTCACAGAAGTACTGATTCACAGACTCACTGATTCACAGATGCACTGATTCACAGAAGCACTGATTCACAGAAGCACTGATTCACAGAAGCACTGATTCACAGGCTTGTTAATTCACAGACTTTTACTGATTCACTAACTCACTCACTGACATGCAAACTCACTGATTCGCTGCTGTTCTGAACTCACTGTGATTGGGAAATAATCCCTGAAATGCATCCAGATCCTCCAGCTTCTGACCCACTGTGACCTCCGACCTCCACATGAGGGCGTGTCCCGGTCCAGATACAGCCAACCAGCATACAGCGCTCCGAGCATCCACCAATCACTGAGACACAGCAGCACGAACGCGGCCAGACACACCTGAGCTGCGAACACACACACACAAATACAAACACACACAGATCAAAGGCAGAGTTTTTGTGTGTGTGTGTGTGTGAGTGAATGAGTGAGTGATTTTGTGTGTGTACGAGATTGAAAGAGTGATTTTTGTGTGTGTGTGTGTGTGTGTGTGTGTGTGTGAGAGAGAGAGAGAGAGATAGCGAGAGAGAGAGAGAGAGAGGGAAAGAGAGTGAGAGAGAGAGAGGTGAATTTGTGTGTCTGTGAGTGTTAAAGTGTGTGTGTTTGAGAGAGAGTGTTTGGGTGTTATTAGAGTGGTGAAAAAGTGAGTGAGTGTGTGAGTCAATGTGTGTGCGTAAAAGAGATTGAGTGGGTGAGTGAGTGAGTGTCTCTGTGAGTGTGTGTTTGTGTATGAATGAGTGAGTGATTTTGTGTGAGAGAGGTGAATAAGTAAGTGTGTGAGTAAATATGTGTGCGTAAAAGAGATTGAGTGTGTGTGTGTGTGTGTGTGTGTGTGTGTGTGTGTGTGTGTGTGTGTGTGTGTGAATGAGTAATTTTGTGTTTGAGAGAGGTGAATAAGTGAGTGTGTGGGACTTTGAGTGTATGAGGTGTGTGCGTGTGTAAGGGTGAATGAATGTGTGTGCGTAAAAGATAATAAGTGAGTGGTTGTCTCTGTGTGTAAGTGTGTGTGTTTATGTGCCTGTGCATACGTGTGTGTGTGTGTGAGAGAGAGAGAGAGAGATAGAGTCTCTGAAATTGTGTGGGTGTTTCTCTAAACTTCAATATATATATATATGTGTGTGTGTGTGTGTGTGTGTGTGTGTGTGTGTGTGTGTGTGTGTGTGTGTGTGTGTGTGTGTGTGTGATCAAGTCAAACAGTGGAGCAGGTCAAACACACACACTGTTACTAAATCAGAAGTGAACTGACTGACCGGCCGCTGCTTCACTAAAAATCAATCTGACTTCAGTAATACAGCTTATAATAATAATTACAGTTAATATAATATAATATAATATAATAAATAATTATTTATATAATAATAACATTTTAAATAGACTATTATTATAAACACACACATTTAAAATATTACTAACAACTATATTATCTCTACAATTAAATAGCAGAAATGACCTTTTTCCTACACACAACGACATAAATAAAACAGAAAACAATAAACTCTCTAGAAATAACAGCTGTATCTGTTTTTATTACAGTTTTAACAACTTAATCTACTGTCATAAAAAACACATTTATAGTCACATTTCTCTGCTTTTATACACACAAAAATAAATAAATACATTTCTAATCAGATTGGCTTGTTGTTTCTACAGTTGTGCCTCCAATTAACTCAAATGTGGTCAATTAGCCAATCAGAACCTTCCAAAACCTTGACACCATCATCTGAGTTTTTTCAGAGGCAGAATATTCTTATTGTATGTCAACCTGACTTTCAAGAAAAGGTATAACAATTTCTCAAACAATATCTCTCTCATTATTCTGCTATTAAGCAGAACAGAAACATGTGTGATCATCTTAACTTTTCTAAAAGAGAAAAAGTTTAGTCACATTAACATCTGACTTTTTAAAAAATGGTCATTTGCCTTTTATACAGTGTATGTCAACTTCTGCTTTCGACTATATATATATATATAATGTATATATTTATAATGTGTGTGTGTGTGTGTGTGTGTGTGTATATATATATATATATATATATATATATATTTATATATAAAATATATATATCGTTGAAAGCAGAAGTTGACATATATATAAATTTTATCTCAAGGGTGGCATTTAGCCAACAAAGTGATGAAGAAAGATCTGATAATGAGGATTTTTAATAAGTGTGCAGTGTTGGAAAAACAGTAAAATATTACAATTTTGAATCCCCTTTAGTACTTAGTTCATTTTTAAGGAAAGTATTGTGAATTGTGTTTCATATTATTTGTGTATTTTGTTTAAGAGTAAAACAGGCTTAAAATTGTAATATACTGTTTTACTCAACCAGTACCTTTGTGTGAAGGTGCTGACAGACAAATATTTATTTTTGAGCAGCACTTATTTTAGGATAATTCATGTTTTAAACTCATTCCCGGCACAAATGTATATCTTTTTATTTCTTTATAATGGGGTTTGTGGAGCTGCGTATTGATGGATTTGCTCTTCAGTGTTTGGACTTTCAGCAGTGAAAATTAAACATAGAGGTAAACTTGGTTTTATATTCGGATATTCAGACTTTCCCCTTAATAATATAATTTCATAAAAGTATTATTTGCAAACTCTAAATAGAGAAATCATATTAGCAGCCAATAACTATCAATGTACAACATTGCTCACAGTCAAATAAACAGTGTTATTGTTGTTTTAAGTCATCCTTGCATGCTAATTCCGATCGAATATTCCAAGTAACATGGTAAACAATACAGAGACTTATAAATTAACGCATGTGCGAATATAAAAACAACTTTACCTCTGTAAATTAAACCTCACTGAACTGAGCAAAACTCAACTACAACACTGAAAACTGGACTGACACAGCTTCAGGTTACTATAGAGGTAAAGTTGGTTTTATATTCGCACATTCAGACTTTCCCCTTAATAATATAATTTCATTAAAGTATTATTTGCAAACTCTAAATAGCGAAATCATATTAGCAGCCAATGAATACCAAAGTACAGCATTGTTTATAGTCAAATAAACAGTGTTAATGTTGTTTTCAAGTCACACTTGCAGGCTAAATCCGATTGAAAATTCAAAGTAATATGGTGAACAATATAGAGACTGCTAAATGAACGAATATGCGAATATAAAACAACTTTACCTCTATCAGTATACTAGAACTTCAGTGTGAAGCTGCTTTTACACAATCTACATTAGAGAAATAAAGATGAACTGAATAGAATAAAGACTGGAATAATTCAGACTTTCTAACTTTGAACATGTAGAAAATAAAATAAATAAATACAATTGTTAAGGAAAGCAAATATTATTCAAATAACACAATAAAACACATACATCTCTGAAAATGAATAGGAAAAACATATACTTATTAAATCCTTCCGCTTCTCCACTCTAGACCAATAATAATGACACTAATGATGATTTATGTATTTATGTGAAAATGAAAGTGAGAACAAGTGTTTGCGTCTGAGTTCGCCAAGTGTGTTGTTCGCAATAAATAAACAAAGTAAATGAAAGATTCGCTCACCCAGAGCCAAGAAGCTGAAGACCCACTGGACCACCGCGGCCGTCTGAATGCGCCTGCGCAGAGGCACGCGCAGAGGAGCGAACTCAATCTTCATCTCGGAGAGCGCACACACACAGTCACACTGCCACAGAACACACACTTACTCACTCACAAACAAACAAACAAACAAATAAACAAACAAACAAACACACACACACAGTCAAAGAACACACACAGCCACACACTCCTCTGTGCAGAGAGTCCAGCACATCAGCGCTCAGAGTCGCGTTTCTTCATCCAGCGCTTTGTTCATCCTCTGTTTCTGCGGGTGACGTCACTCAGAGGCTTTCGTTCTGAGCGCACACTGTGAATAAAGTGAGTTTCTGACACTTTTGTGAGTCTTGCTGAAGTTCGGTCAGCTCCTATCGCGCGCCTCTGTTCCGCGTGCCTTCGTGCGAGCGCAAAAGCAGCAACACACCCGTGACGTCAGCGACCCGGCCCTCTCGCTGGCCGCCAATCACATCGCGCGGATGATGCACGATCTGCGCATGCGCGCGACTGTGAACCCTTTAACCTGTCCTTCGCGCGGTCGCCAGAGGACGCTCGTGTGCTCGTTTTTTTTGCTTTCTTTTTTCTTTTGATTTCTTTAACACATTTCTAAACATAATAGTGTTAATAACTCATCTCTAATAACTGATTTATTTTCTCTCTGCCATGATGACAGAATATTAGACTAGATATTCTTCAAGACACTTCTATACAGCTTAACGTGACATTTAAAGGATTCACTAGGGTAATTAGGGTAAAGTTAGGGTAATTAGGCAAGTCATTGTATAACAGTGGTTTGTTCTGGAGACAATCTAAAACTAATAGCTTAAAGGGGGCTAATAATATTGAGTTTATTATATTTTATTATTATATTCTAGCCGAAATAAAGCAAATAAGACTTTCTCCAGAAGAAAAGATGATATCAGACATACTGTGAACAATTCCTTGCTCATTTTGGAAATATTTAAAAAAGAAAAAAAATCCACAGAAGGTTAAATAATTCTGATTTCAACTGTATAATGTTCACTACATTTATATTCAGCATTTAGATTAACAAATCTAATGACTAAAACATTCCAGTATAAAATATGTATGTTTGGGTCAATTAACCAGTACATAGAGGCAAAAAGATTTATCATTATTTATTATTATAGCTTGTCATAATTATAAAAATGACCTTTTTATGTAATATAAATATACAATACATATCCTTTTGAGACCCAAAGAATTTTTTTTCTGTGATTTCCTTCATCCTTTTGGTTAAAAAAGTCTACACATTAGAGTTTTTACATTTTGTTTTTATTTTTAATTTTACAGCATGTCTCCAGTGTAGTGGACCACAGGACTATTTTAGTTTAAAACGACTGCCACTCAGACAACAAAACAGTACAGGATATGGCTGTAAAGGAATATTAATCCAATATTAATGTAACAAAAACAAAACAAAAGCCACTTTTCCTTTTTTTTTTAATTGAAACTCCTGAAACAGTTTAGTCTGAAAGAGAGCCGAACTCAAAAAAAACCAAAACAAAAGCAAAAAGAAGTGATGTTAATCCAAAACAAACCTAACATAAAAGCGATTTAAAACGGATTTTCATTCTCTAATCATCTCTAATTCTCTAATTGTCAGACTCTAAATCAGAGTCTCCCTCAACTATCTTATAAAGAGTCCTCTCTGCTTCAGTTCTGCCTCCTACAACATGCAGTCACTAACTACATTAATATGGTCCTTTTGTCCACTATAGTGCAGAGGTTCTCAAAGTGGGGGTCGGGACCCCCCGAGGGGTCGCGGGACAATGAAGGGGGGGTCGCCTGGTGATTTTCAAAAATCAATTAATTTTTAATAAACCTTAAGACTTACTGTATTTTATCAATAACCTACTGATGAGAAAAAAAAATAGTCGTTTATAGTTACTTTAAACTATATAGTTACTATAGTAGCTTATAGTTACTAGTTCTATTGGATTGTGACTTCTCGAGTAATTACATTATACTAAAGACACAGCAATACTGTCAGATGCAGCAGATTTTGTAACACCAGGTTAAACTTTCTAGCCCATTTACAGCACTGACATACATAAAAAAACAAAGAATAGACTTGGGCCTATTGGTGTGTCTGCGTCATTGCTTACAAGGTTTCTGTATTTATAACCACCACCTCAGAGAATTTTGGGGGTCACGAGTCACTGGCATTGTCATTTTGGGGGTCGCGGGCTGAAAAGTTTGGGAACCCCTGCTATAGTGGACATTTAAAAAAGGAGGATATTTTGAAACACAAACAAGTTAGCAGCTTTAAAAGCTAAATGTATTGTTCCAGACACTTTAATGAGCATGTATATATATATATATATATATATATATATATATATATATATATATATATATAATAGTTAAAACACATTTAAAAAGCTCAATTTGACATGCCTCTCTCCTTCACATAAATGTGCTTTTTTGTATGTCGGCCATTTCGGATGCAGTGAAAGAAGTGGTTTCGAGCATGCCAGCCAATCAAATGACATCACTAGAAAGCCCAGGATGTCCTCTGCTTAGTACAATAGGACTTAAAAGAGTAGCTCAAAAAATTTCAAAGAAAATTCATGAAAACGCCATGTCCACTACTGACAGGGCCGGAGCAAGATGAACTGCCGCTCTAGGCAAATTGCCGCCCTCAACCCTAAGGTGAAAGTGGGTTCGGGGGGTTGATGTCAAGGGAGCTGTCGTGGACACCACCCTCTCTATTCTGCCGCCCTACACGTGGATATAACTGAGGGCGCGGGTGGTGAGGGAGCTGTTGGTGATGCTGCCCTCTCTATTCTGCCGCTCTAGGCGGCTGCCTAGGTCGCCTCTATGGACGTGCCGGCCCTGTCTACAGAGGACACAAGTCAATGGGCGGGGTCTCAGTATATATATATATTTATATATATGAGCAATATCACACTCGTAGCAGTGCGATATGGCTGTATATCGGCACTGGTAGGGGCACTAAGGCACTCGGCCGTAGCACGCACGCCTCCCACCAGTGCCCAACAATGCAATTTTGTAACATTTTGCGTATGTATTGTTCTTTATTGTTTTATTATTGTAATGTGAGTTTGGATCCCTACTGGAATTAAGCAAGCGTGTAATTCTCTGCATTTTTTTCTTTTTTAATGTGTATTATAATGTACCAATTTGAGTCTAAGAAAAGCGCATCACTAAAAAAAATTATTATTAATTCATATATACATTTATTAAATACAGTTGAAATCAGAATTATGAAACCCCGTGAATTATTCGCACCCGTTTATTTTCCCCCAATTTCTGTTTAAGGGAGAGATTTCTTTAACACATTTCTAATCGTAATAGTTTTAATAACTCATCTCTAATAACTGATTTCTTTTATCTTTGCTATGATGACAGCACATAATATTTTACTAGAAATTCTTCAAGACACTTCTATACAGCTTAAAGTGACATTTAAAGGCTTAACTAGGTTAATTAGGGTAACTAGGCACGTTATTGTATATCAATGGTTTGCTCTATAGAATACTGGAAAAAAAGTATATAGCTTAAAGGGGCTAATAATATAAACCTTAAAACGGTGTTCAAAAAATAAAAACTGCTTTTATTCTAGCCGAAATTAAACAAATAAGACTTTCTCCAGAAGAATAAATATTATAGGAAAAACCATGAAAATTTCCTTGCTCTGTTAAACATCATTTGGGAAATATTTGAGAAAGAATTTTTTTTAAAAATAATTTTAATAATTCTGATTTAACTATGTATTGTCTGTACTTCATGTATAAAAAAACCCAGAACAACACACCACCTAGTGGCAGACTAAAATATCTAACAAGGCTTATAAGCATAATATTAAACCAAAAAATTTCTTTTAAAAATTAAAACTAAATTTAAGTTACAGCAAGCTGGTATGGTGAGCAATATATACTGCAAACAGACACTCAGAAGAAAATAAACTCCGTCACATCTGATGCATATTAATAAATATTC